GAATAAAATAGGTCAGAGACCCTCTAATTAAACTGAAAATATTCGCACTATTTCTTTACTGAGGAACGTACGGTGTTCTTATATCCGGAGTGTCAGCAAAAACGGAAGAGTTAACCATTTGGGAATATATATTTATTAGTAAATTACGGTGAATTGTCGGACGTGTTGGTTATTAAGGTTTCACAACATAGCGCTCACTCTTGATCACATCATTAAAAGAAAGTAATAATTTTCTCTCAAGAACCATCACACACCAAGCACTAACTTCCCACGAGTGGAAGAGGAAGGTCTTCCACCTCCTGAATTCTGATATGGCCTTTAATTAGAAATTCCTCTTTCTTGCATTGTGAACCCCATTTTCGTATTTAATGATCACTGAACCAGAAAGAAAACAATGGGTTACAATAGTACATGTGTGGGCTTTTTGCTGATGACACTGTGCTTTTGGGAGATTCTGAAGAGAAGTTGCAGAGGTTGGTGGACGAGTTTGGTAGAGTATGTAAAAGAAGGAAATTAAAAGTGAACTTAGAGAAGAGCAAGGTTATGAGGATAACAAAAAAATTAGGTAATGAAAGATTGGATATCAGATTGGAGCGAGGGAGAGTGGAAGATGTGAATGTATTCAGATATTTGGTAGTGGATTTGTCATAGAATTGACGGGGGGGGGGGGGGAAGGTGAGTATAGCACTGAAGAGTCTGCGGAGACAGTATGTTATCCATGGAAGCAAAGAGGGGAATGTATGATAGTATAGTGGTATCAACGCTCTATATGGGTGTGAAGCATAGGGGATGAGTGTTGCAACAAGGAGAAGACCAGAGGGTGGATGAAGGGTTGTTGAGGTGGTTCGGACATTTAGAGAGGATGGAACGAAATTGAATGACTTGGAGGGCATATAAATCTGTAGTGGAAGGAAGACAGGGCAGGGGTCGGCCTAGGAAAGGTGGGAGGGAGGAGGTAAAAGAGGTATTGTGTGCGAGGGGTTTTGATTTACAGAAAGCGCGCTTGGGCGTGTTAGGAGCGAGTGGGGACAATTTGTTTTTATGATCTGACGTGCTGTTGGAGTGTGAGAGTACGAAAGATCTTGATCTAAAGATTCCATCCTCAAGTGGCTTGTTCTGCTTATGTCGTAGGGGTTCTTAAATGAAGATATTGTGGGTTGAAGGTAGACACACTTGTTGGATGGTAACATATATTGTCAGACTGAGTTGATGGGAGATGGAGCCCAGTGCCGTGCTTGTCTTCGCCTGGGTGTCTACGCCGAGTGAGGCCGGGGCAGAGGTACGAGCGTACACATGCGCACCCCGTGACGTGACGTCACAGAAAGTCACAGGCCTACAAGGGATCTCCTATCTAAAGCACATGGATGATACTAATATGCTATGCTATATAACACAGGGATCAGCAACTATGCTGACACTTATATATATATATATATATATATATAATATATATATATATATATATATATATATATATATATATATATATATATATATATATATATATTTGTACTCACGGAGCAAGTGGTATTGATCAATAACACTGCACTAGCCAAGGAGTCGAACCCATGCTGTTTTGGCCCGACTCATGGTGAGAAAAAACGCATGACGCTTTAGACCACTAGACCACTAGACCACACAATCCTTAACAATGGTGCATCCAACCAAGCTAGATGTTGTACCCACCATCGAAGGACATACGGTGGTGTGGACGCCTCTGAGATAGTTTCATTCTACTCCCTGTTTGTGTACTAGCTCAACAAGCAGTATATTATATTATTGTACCCACGGAACAAGTGGTATTGATCAATAACAACACTGCACTATTGTTAAGAATTGTGTGGTCTAGTTGTCTGAGGCGGGCCAAAACAGCATGGGTTCGACTCCTTAGTTAGCGCAGTGTTGTTATATATATATATATATATATATATATATATATATATATATATATATATATATATATATATATATATATATATATATCGTGCCGAATGAGTAAAAATTGTAATTTTGGCTTAAATAGCAACGCACTTGTTGTTGAATAGGGCAAGCAAAAATATGTGTATGCAATAATTTCGCAAAAAAACATTCTGAGTCTAGCGAAAAAAATATATTTCTCTGTGTTTGTTTATTATTAAATTATTGTAAGCATATATAAAATATATTTAGTTGGATTAGGCTAAATTAAATTGCTCTTGTTATAATAAGGTTAGATAAGTTTCCTAAGGTACTTTTGGTACAAAATCATTAATTTTTATATTAATGTAAATGAAAAAAAAATATATCTTTAAATATATAAAAGAAAATTTTAGAAAGGATTTAATTTTAAATGAGTTCTTGCTAATTGACCAGTTTTACTTATTCGGCACGACATATATATATATATATATATATATATATATATATAATATATAATTATATATATATATATATATAAAGCTTGAGAGAATATTAAAGATAATAAGCATATCAGTGTTCATGAAAGAATACTTAAAATGGCTTTAACAAAATTCTTATCAGCACCAAAAGGGAGAATCAGAGGACACAGTTGATAACTGAGAAACAAATGTGGCGTACAAGACACTGGAATAATGGTTTCCAAAGGCAGAGTGGAAAGTTACTAAAACGGGAACCAAGAATAGACAGCGTGTCCATCAACTACAGTGAACCTTTGCAAAAGAACGACAGTTTAAACTGAAGACCCGAGACTCTACCAAAAAACAGTCCTTCAGCCATCCCTGAATTATTCACTGAATAGAATAGCCACAATGCCTATGGTCTACGAAGAAGGTTGAGGTCACTGAAAATCTCAGATGAGTCGAGAATGAGAAAAGAAAGAAAGCTTGATTATCATAGAAAGCAATTTTGCATTATATTAACTGCTTCTACGAATATTGAAGAACGTTGTGCGTGTTGAGTATATCTTTGGTCATGAAACACTGTACGTGATATACGAGTAAATTACGTGATAGATTGATTTTTACGTGGTTATTTAGCGTTCATATCAGGAGGCTGTTGCATGCCATTCTGAGATATTCTGATATGTCTGCAGATTACAAGGATGTTGCATGCCATTCTGAGATGCCCAGACAGGCCAACAGTGATTAGAATACAGATGCTGAAGCCTTCACCACTATTAGTGAAGAATGTCCCAAACTAAAATCAAACGGGTTGAAGATGTTTATAGCTGTAGACGTATACCAGTGTATTGTATACAATGGAAATATTTATTTATCTTGTAGCTCTAAGAGTATGAGAGTGGAGAGGGCGTGTAGAATTTTTTTTTTAATCCGGCCCCAACCCTCGGCCATTCTCTGCCCTTACACCACTAACACACCCCTGACATAATTTACACCTTCATCACCATTAACATACTCTTACACCACTAGCGTACACTCATACCACTGACACCCCTCACACTGCTAGCAAAACTTTACACCATTACCAACTCAAAGTTCAACACACACCACCACCCCGGCACCCTCCATCTCTTCCCTTCTCACAAAACTTTACCACACTGACAAGCCTCGCCACTCTCACTAGCCCCATCAACCCGCAGCCTATCCCACACAAAATAGAATAGAGAGGATATGACCACGACAATGAAAGAATTCCACAGCATAAACACTATAGACAAGTGTTGGTTCTTCACCAGGTATGCAACAACAATAGAAGACATGGTTGGAAATTTTATTTCCACATGAGCTACAGGAGATTCTGAAAAAATTCTTTACTTTATAAAAGATCTTATATAAAATTTTGCCGTCGAGGCGGCTAGTTTGTGTAACCCATATCCATCCTGTGGACGGTGACGCAAGAGAATATGTATACACAAAAAGCCTAGGAACTAGGCCCCAAAAGGATTCACAGGAGACCATCTGGATTTACATCTACAACTTATCATTAAATCTAAGATATTTGTTTAATATGTCTAGTATATTATTTTCATTAATAAGATGCGTTGACATATTAGGTAGGTTATCATATCTATCTTGCAGGAAGGTACAATGGGCGGGAACTGTGACATTTATGGAGGATTCCATATTGGGGTCTCTAAACAAAGCTGACAGTGGTATTTCACGTCAGTTGAGACTCTGAACTCTACCCGGTAGAACTTGCCACGTAAACAAACACACGCTAGTACACAGCACGATGCTATAGCACCAGCTTAGTTCTCCAGCCGAGAGATGTTATATCTCCGGTAAACGAAAGGATGATGCTTAACCAGTTACAGGAAATCATTCGGAAGAGTCCCGTTGCGGGAGACACCTCCATCCCATTTAACACACGGCAGTGTTAGTGAATTGAGGTGTGCGTAATCCATAGAATTAATGAGACTACCCTATCCCGTGTACAGTGGCCCTGGTGGCATAACTGAGAGTGGCGCTAGTTGTATAAGTGACTGTTAGAAATGTACTCTCGCAGGCGGCCTGAGATTAATTAGGCTATTATTGCTTTTGCCTAACAAGGTCACACTGTCCATCGCATGGTGGTGGGGTGAGAACCTCCTGCGGGATTTTGTCTGCTTTCCTCCTGAAGAATTCTTTCTTCGTTTCGTCAATATTTCTCTTTAGAAGGCTGAAATCTCACGGACTTAGGATGTTGACATATCACTACCTCCTCTGGGTGTAGGATGAGGGGGTGGGTGTGAAGGATCACGTGGGCGGGGGGTAGGATACGTGAAGATAGCCGCCCACACAGCAGTTCACTGGACGGGAGCGCACGCAGGAGCGCGACGCGCGCGCACCTGCCTTATGAATCGCGCCGGTCTGAGACCAACACTGTGGCCACACACTCACACCCTCACACCCTTCACTTGGACCTAAACATATCCCCTACCATATCTATTCCCAAGTTCTTTTCTCAACACCTCATTCTGCATTTTCACAGATCAGGTCATTAGAGACAATGATAATATTATCAAGCCACGAGAAGACTAGTGATGAGGGGTATATCTTGTGCCACCCAGTGTGGCACTAGTGCCATAAACCAACAAGTGAGTGACGCTGCTGGTGCCGGGCGCCACAAGCTCAGTCTTGCTCGGGCTCTCAACACACCAACACATCGCTCTTGTTTACCTTCGCTAACTCTCCTGGCAGACTCATTATCAAACCCTCGACGCCACAGCTACACGGAAACCTAATCTCTCTCTCACTCTTTCTTACTGTCTCTCTTACTGATCACCGACATAAGAGACAATCTCGCCCGCTAGGAACTCAGGGTAAACACGTGTCCTGAATTATCACAAAACGTTTGAGGTCAAGGCCAAACCTACATCAACGCACCACGAGGCAAACCCAGACACACACGCACACACACACACACACACACATGACTGTACTCGATTAATGGATAAAGTCTTTGTGTGTATCTTCGAAAGGTGTGCGTACACCGTGTGGTCACCCCTGTAGGCGCCCCAGCCAGCCTAAACACTCAACAAACAGCCACCCAAGCACTTAACTCACAGCCTAACGAGCCCTCACTGTATTCGTTGTTGAGACACTTGCCCTTCAAACAATTAACAGAAGGTGACACTTGCAGGAAGTGCTTCATAGGGGGTGTTAGCACTTTGTTTTCTCAGAGTGTCTCATTACCCCGGCACCATTAACATGGCGGCGGCGCTGGTGGCCCGCGGGCCGGTGCGCTCACGGTCCACTGAGATCCTCTGTGCTGGGTCCTTCAGCATCGTAGTGGACAGTGTCGACGGAGACGTAACGGGAGGCGCCGCTGACGACGAGATCTTCGGCGAGGATACCGATGCTCGAAGCGACATCTCGAATGCGTCGAGTCGCGGGTCGAGGACGTCCATCTCCAAGGAAGAGTCTGATGCTAAGCTGGCGCTCTTTAGGGTGAGTTCAACTCTCTGTTTACGTTTAATAATGGTAAATAGTACTACATTTAAACCGATAATTGAGCAGAGGACCGAAGCGAGGTTCTGTAATTACCAGGCGCTACTCTGTGCAATTCTTACATTCTTGCAAGCCCTACACTGTACCAGTCATAAATTCTTGCAGATCCTACGCTGCACCGCGTACCAAGAGACCTCGGTTCGATGCCCTGTCCATTTCTCGGTATATTCATAGTCGTTTACTACGACTTTAACTGGATTTGGTAATGTACCTGTTGATATTCCTTTAAGGAGGGTGCTTAAATTCTGGTAAAGAGCTCTTCATCCAGGGAGTTGCATGTGCCTTCCACTTGTTGTATGATCCCTACAGGCGTCGCGCTTTTTCTTAAAGATAATAATAATAATAATACTAATAATAATTTTTCTTAAATAAATGACCAGACTTTTTGTTGACTTGCTTCGCAGAGTCCTTTCAAGGTCCTTGATGCTGGTGAAGAGCTCTTGATCCAAGAAATTAAAGATACCCTTCCTCTCCTGAAGGATGCTTTTGAGAGTGTCAAAGCCCCCGTGACCCGATCCCAGACCAGGCGTGATAAACCAGGCTGTTACCTCCTCGCCCCATTCTCCCGGAGCTGTCTGGCCCTTTCAGTTTTAGTGTAAGCACTTGGAACAAGTGACCACGATATATCCTCACATTGGTGAAGCGTAATGCTGTACATTATGTTGTCAGCAATTTGTCATGGGAATAGATGGTGGTGTTCCTGTTGGTGCTAATGGAAATGTGGTGACATGAACATTCATTATGTCATGATATTAATGGAATGCAGTACCGACAAATTGATGAATAAGACACATGTGGGTCGCTTCGGTGTCTTTATTGCCAAGTATTTCACAAGCACGGCGCAATTCTTCAGCCGAATGGGACTGTTGTGCAGTTGTGACCTTGAAGCGATGATACCTCAAGCGTTGCACAAGGATCTTAAGTCACACGTTTATTATAGTTTCCGTCTGCTTGTTTTGCGACGCACCCTCGTTACATTTTCTTTAACACAAATAAATAACAGTCTTAGTAAGTCAGTGAACGTTTCTCAGCCTGTGAATCTTCGTCAGCCAATTCATTTTCACAATCACGGGCGCACAGAACCGCGCAGTGGTCCTGGTAACCACACATAAGCACACATGAGCATTGTTCTTCTCTCGTAACTGCAAATATGTAACTACAAACAATACCACGGGCGAGGATAGAACCCGCGATCAGAGAGTCATAAAGCTCCAGACCGACGCGTTAACCACTGGGCCAGCTGGCTACATTAAGATTCATCCAACTAGGTATATTTATACACCATAGAAAGGTCAGCATAGACATCACTGTGACCACAAATGCAAGTTTTTACAGACGAATCTCCTGCCAGCGTGGCCGTCACACAGATTCGTTTGTAAAAACTTACATTTGTGGTCACAGTGGTGCCTATGCTGACCTTTCTATTGTGTATAAATATACCTAGTTGGATGAATCTTATTGTAGCCAGCTGGCCTAGTGGCTAACGCGTCGGTCAGGAGTTTTATGACTCTCTAATCGCGGGTTCTATCCCCGCCCGTGGTATGGTTTGTTTGCAATCGTGTCATTACGATTTCGTGAGTCATGTACCAACACGAATAATATATAAGAATGATCCATAGATTATAATCCATGAGTTGCCTGAGTCACTCCGAGACAAGTGCACGATAAGTATGGCAGAATAATGGTGGCACTATGGTACTGTAACACCTTATTATAGAACAACATTTGATTAATGGTACTCCATACCGAAAAAGTGATGAACAAGAAACATATGCAACATTGGGTAGCGTTACTGCCTAAACAGTTCGATTGCATAATAGGCTTCTTCAGTTGAGCACGGAGGGGATTTTAATATTAGAAACAGTGAAAGAAGCCGCGAGGTAATTTTCGAGGTGCTTTGTCACTCAGCTTTAATTAACGGAAGTTAGTCCCATAGCTTGAGGTTAAGGGATTGACCATATTTATTCAAAGCTGAGAAACCCAGTACCTCAAATTAATACCTCCATTTCTTACTCTGCCTGAAGCATCAATATCCGTGTATTCGACTGAAGAAGCCTGCTGTACTGTCGTAACGTTTCGGTAGTAAAGAATAAGAAATCCGTTGGAGTCTCCCTCGAAGGCGTAGATGGGGAAAGTTCTATGACGTAAAAGAAACCCTCTGTCTCTCTAAGTCAGCGGACCTCCCTTTCCCGTAAGAGAACCAGGCAACGGCGAGAATAATCAGGGTGCTGCACATAGCGTCTTATTCACTCATTAGAGAGCAGCTGCTAACGTCGCAGCGGCTGGCTAACATGAACGTCGGTAAACAACAGAAGAGCGTTCATAAATCTCAACGAGGATTCCTTGATATACAACTTTCAAGACGAACTCAAGAACATGCAGTGCCAACCTGACACCAACATCTCGTTAAGCACATGCCAACTCTCGAGGAGGAAGAGATGTTTGCAACCAAATACGTTGTTGAGATAATGAATCAGGGATAAGAGGACACTCTGAGAGAATGAAATCTTTCAACCCTGGAAGAAAGGAAGGCTTGAGTGAGTCGTGGGTCAGTAGCAGCTAGTTGGTCATGATTCCTTACGCCTGCTAACCCTGATCACCTAACTATAAATAGGTACCTGGGTGTGATCTAACTGTTGTGGTTGGCATCCTAGGGTATTTAGTTTTAATTTAATATGTTTATTATGCACCCCATACCCATCCTGTGGGTGGTAGTCAAAAGATTACAGAGGTACATAATGGGTCCAGGGACTGGACCCCTAAGTTTTGATAGCTGAGCAAGTTACAAAGGTAATGAACTCCAGGTAGATCTGGTCACAATCATGACCAAGTTACAAAGGTATTGAACTCTTCTGCACAACCAGTATGGTAAAACTAAGATCCAGCTGTGAACGACAGTGTCTACATAAAAAGTTCTTGTACCACTAATAGAGATTGATTTTTTTTAAAAAGTAACACAGTCTGTACTGGACTAAATCATTTTTACGAACCAACTGAGAAGTACTACAAGGAAAAGATATTAACCATATATATGAGACTTTCTGATACATATATGACAGAAGCAGGAAACTATATCGAATATATATATATATATATAAAATATATATATAATATATATATAATATATATATATATATATATATATATATATATATATATATATATAATATAATATATATATATATAAAATATATATTATATATGGGAAAGGTGTGGCAAGAAAACTTTTTAAGGTAGAAGGGCTCTTGATCCAAAGAATTGGAGCTATCCTTCCCTTCCCTGGAGCAAACCTAATTTACCTCCCTTTCTCAATTTCTTTTATGACCCCTACGGATGTAGCGCTTCCCCATGACTTTATAATAATATGGAAAGAAAATTTTTCAAAAATTATATACCCAAAAAAGGCTAAACTCAAAAACCCATCAAAATCTATACATTGTAATAAAACGAAAAAGACCAGGACACAAATTATCAAAAGGGGTATTTTGAAATAGAAACTGAAGCCTTTTTTTTTTCTTCAATTTAAATAACGCGACGTGAAAGACCAGCTGCGGAAATTTAAATGAAGTAATGGAACTCTGGAATTTGTGCCAAATTTTGCATTTGTAATTCAAAATTATATTTATAGAAGAAAAAAAAATCAAAGAACCGGACCAAAATATCCAACGACCAAATGTCACGGAATCCGATGGAAAAAAATATTAAACAAATTATTATTTATGTATGAGAGGTGGTTGATTGAGGCGAGATATTACCCCAGATCATGCCACGTACACACACCCCAGATCATGCCACGTACACATACCCCAGATCATGCCACGTACACACACCCCAGATCATGCCACGTACACAACACCCCAATCATGCCACGTACACAAAATTCCAGATAAAAGCCACGTACACACATCCCAGATCATGCCACGTACACACACCCCAGATCATGCCACGTACACACATTCCAGATCATGCCACGTACAAACACCCAGATCATGCACGTACACACACCCCAGATCATGCCACATACACACACCTCAGATCATGCCACGTACACACACCCCAGATCATGCCACGTACACATACCTCAGATCATGCCACGTACACACATTCCAGATCATGCCACGTACACACACCCCAGATCATGCCACGTACACACATTCCAGATCATGCCACGTACACACACCCCAGATCATGCCACGTACACACACCCCAGATCATGCCACGTACACACACCCCAGATCATGCCACGTACACATACCTCAGATCATGCCACGTACACACACCCCAGATCATGCCACGTACACATACCTCAGATCATGCCACGTACACACATTCCAGATCATGCCACGTACACACACCCCAGATCATGCCACGTACACACACTCCAGATCATGCCACGTACACACACTCCAGATCATGCCACGTACACACACCCCAGATCATGCCACGTACACACACCCCAGATCATGCCACGTACCCACACTCCCGATCATGCCACGTACACACACTCCAGATCATGCCACGTACACACACCCAGATCATGCCACGTAAAACACACCCCAGATCATGCCACGTACACACACTCCAGATCATGCCACGTACACACACTCCAGATCATGCCACGTATACACACCCCAGATCATGCCGCCTACACACACCCCAGATCATGCCACGTACACACACCCCAGATCATGCCACGTACACACACTCCAGATCATGCCACGTACACACACTCCAGATCATGCCACGTACACACACCCCAGATCATGCCACCTACACACACCCCAGATCATGCCACCTACACACACCCCAGATCATGCCACCTACACACACCCCAGATCATGCCACTTACACACACCCCAGATCATGCCACCTACACACACCCCAGATCATGCCACTACCACACCCCAGATCATGCCACCTACACACACCCCAGATCATGC